TGATGGCTCTGTAATTAAAATGTCAGCTAAATGTGTTTGGGATCAAAGAGGCTTTTCATAAGTCACTCATGATGCGCACAGTGGTGAAAAGTGAAAATGTGCTGAGCCAGCGCTGCAGTGGCCAACCAGGGCGACCCTAGAAATGCCTGGGCTTAATCAGGCCGCCACACCAGCTGCTTGTAAACTCGCCCTGGCTCGATCGTGCAGCCACTAACACGAGCCCACCAGGAGAGCAGTGACATCACAGGGGAGATATGTGATAAACCCTGAACTCGAGTATCAGTGTCTGTTCACAGCTGTGGAGAATGACCTCAGTGAGCTTCTCTCCTGTCTGTGTTGTTTGAGCAGCAGCTGTACAAAATATAAAAACATAAGTGGGGCATCTCGCAGAGATCGAGTTGCAGCTGCTTTTGGTCTAGTCTTCTGCAGGTCTAGTCTTTTTACCTTTATCTCTCTCTATAATTAGAATAATGTGGGGAATAAGCTTTTTTTTTTTTTTTTACCCAGACACAATTTATCAGCATACTGCATGGAAAGGTGATTCATTCATAATATTTATATTTTGTGCAAGCACTGTCCATTTGTACAGCATGTGAGGTCTTGCGTCAGTGTGTGTACCACGTTACTTTGAAAGACATCTGTGTCTTTATGCACCAGTGCAACTCTGGGAAATTCCTGTAAATTTGTTGCGCTGCGAGTTAAAGACATTTTTATTCTAATTAAATTTGTGGCAGTTCTGATCTTGTTAAACTCAAGTAGCTCCAGCATTTATTTGATTTGTGTTAAGTTCTGCCTCTTTCTCATCATTGATTTTACAACATAAATTCTTACCTTTTATGTTGTAGTAATCACTTTTTATATCTGGTGTTGACTGAATTAGGAGTAATGAAAAATTAATTCACCGCAGGCTGCAAACTACTGGTCTGCAGAGCTGTGCTGTGTTGACATTGGTCCTGATCTGAGGATTGAGTGTGATTTGTAATTTGCTGCCTGAGCGATATAGCCTGTGAAGCAGTGTCACTTTTCTCCTCCAGTAAACAGAGCTGGTGAGGATCCTGCCCCTCTTCTGAGGGGCCCGCCTGCCTGTTTATGAGCCAGTCCAGCACTGTTTGTGCATGAGAGGCAGTGTGTGTGTGTGTTAACAGTACTTTAGCAGAAGCCAGCTTGTGTTTCAGAGTTTTCACAGCGGTGCTGTCAGCGTTGGGTTTCTCAAAAACAAAAAGTGACAGAGGTCTAAAGAGCGAGCTGTTCCTTATGTCAAACACATGCTATAAAATTTTTTTTTTAGTGTTTTTGTCCCAGAATGTTAGTTTAATGCTCCTGTGCACATCTGTAAAAGTATGTTTTTCTTTTTGTTTATTTCACATCTTTTTTCTAGGTACATCTCCAAAGTTTCATGGTAATTCGGCAGATATATTCATCTTGTCAAGGAATGTGATTGAAACATTTTTTTTTAACAAGATGTACTGATGGAAGCTATTATCTCATTTGTTAGGGGCCTCACAGTAATGACAGCAGCTGTCCTGGTGTTTCACTGAACAAGTCATTTTTAAAGATTATATGCTTTGTTGATGTACTTCTGTCCATGGAAGCCCCTGTCAGTGGCACAGATTGGGCGCAGTGACAGTCGGCTCTTATGTAAACTTTCTGCTTGCCTTGTACTTACTAGCGTCACTTCATTAAAATATTATCTGCCCTGCCTGTTTGTGGAGTGGCCCACCAAAACAGCACTGCCGCCCATTGTTTTGCCATGAGAAGAGGCATCCTCGAATAATTAGCGGCCTTCCAGTGGAGCGGCCTGTGATGTAACAGAGCTGAGATGTTTGGCATTATAAGAATGTCCCATTTCCATTTGACACATGTCACTTTGGGGCCCTTTCATGTGTAGTCTACCATGCACATCCCAGGGGCCTGGGGACCTCCTGGTTGCCTTGTCCTGCTGGGAGAGATGACACAGTCTCAGCCCATGACATAGTTCTCTTTCATCAGATGCAGGGTTTCACATCATACAAGAGAACATCAATTTTCAGAGCATTATTTGCAACATGTTTTACTTTTTAAAGTTTATTTATTTATTTTAGGATGAAAGCAGGTCAAGTCACAAGTCTTTAAGGGAGGTTTAGGAGAAGCAAAAGCACTAATGTGGCAAAAATAAGTGAACAAATGTGCATTTCTCACACTGCTCTAACAGGGCAGATGCTGCCCTTCTCTTCCCTTTGTTATGCCTCAATATTGTGAAGTGGTTCCACTCATTGCGCAACCTCACGGCAAACACTGTGAACAAATGTCATCTGTGTAATTCTTTGCTGTTGACTATTGCCATCTACTGAGTGTGTGGGCAGTGCACGTATAGTGTGTCATGCATTAGTGTAGTTACCTCCAAAGGTCAGTCTGGGAGAAAAATAGCAAAATACAACTGTCATAAAAGACTTTAATGATAAGATTTACATAAATATTCAATTTGATATATTTTTTTTTTACATCAAGAAGAAACAGCAAATTGTTCATTAAAATGTCACACATACCACAAACAGTTTGCTTGACAATGCAATTAGGAAACTGACTTAAACTGCAGTAAGCTAATTGTTTTACCTGCAAGCATTTTTGATCTGCAACATACTTTTAATTTTGTATTTCTTGAAAATGCAAAGAAGACTCACAAATGTGCCAAGATTAGCGACCAGCCCTCTTTCTGGTCAGGCCATATCAGTGGTCAGTCCAATGAAACTTGGCCCTTTTGTGACCTCAGCACTCCATATGTGACTTTGTGATTTGGTCACATGTAATAGTGTTTCGACTGCTGACCAAAACTCAGCAAAACTGCTACTAGAACTGGTTCTCTTGTATTTATCATGCTGTTTGGAGAGGCTGACAAACGGTATGGTTGAGTGCGGGTTGTGATTGTTTTGTTTCTTAAATGAAACTCCAATATGAACATGATCACCCAGAATACATTAGCCCCCTTGCCCTCCTTGCCCTGCCATGTGTCTGTAATATGTTGTGGCCTGGTTGTGGGGCTGTCAGTTGGATCAATTATGGAGAAGGCTCTTGGTTTGATCACCATGCCCAGAGGGCTGACAAGTGGTCCTCTTCTTTCCCGGTCATGTTTGAAAATTTCATGTAGATTCTTTAGAACATACTGACTGAGGAATGCTTTGATAAATGCATTCAGATGGGGATAGATGGTCCATGGAGCAATCAAAGTGCCTGTTTGGCTCCATAGACGGCTTCCCTCGTGTCCCTGCTGCCCTTTTGTCCCCTTCCTTTTAAAATGGATCCTCAAAGTGATTTTTGAAAAAATGCTTTTAGCCCAGTCCAGAGCATAAGTGTCGCCCACAGGTCTTGGTTTGTTACCTGTCTGGCATGGGGGTCTGCCAGTCTGCGTCATTCCCACAGTTCAGAACTGCAGCAAACAGGAAAGCTCATAAACACACAGGCCCCCTAGAAAGGTCTGTACCTCAGCTCCCTGGCCCAGCAACACATCTGCCCCTGCTTAGGGCCCAAGACCCCTTAAATCCCCACACACCTGGAAAGAATTACAGCCAGCATGTTTGAAGAAATACCCTCCCCAGGGTTACCCAAGCAGGCAATACAGGCAAAACACACTTTCATATAAAGGCAGAACAGCAGGGTCGAATAGTTCAGTTTCAAGCTGGTTTATGTCATTGAGCAATCAGACCTCAAGTCAAGTGTATTATTTGCTGATAGGTACTTTTGACATAAAGAACTTAATCACTTAGTGGCCGTTATTTGAATACATGACTCATCCTAGAATTTAGGCAGAGTGTAATATAATACTGGTCAACCCTTTTAGACATAATGCAGAAGAATAACACAGATGGCAGCGGTGTGACTCACAAGTCCTCACCTTGGCACTGCTTGTGATGTGCATGTGAGTCATGTTGATTGTTACTATGAGAACAGTAAGTTGTCAGTAAGTGCCTGAAATCAAAATATAAGCTTCTAAGATCAGCAGATTGGATTAAAAGGAGATTTAGCTTTTTGACTAACTGTACGTAATTCATATTACAGGTGTACTTTGACTGCGGTGCTAAGGTGGATGTGGTGGACGTCCAAGGCCTC